GATAAAATTGTTTAGGGACTATCAACTCCATCCCTAACGCTTCCCTCGGGCCGAGTTACATACTCTACTTTTATTTTTTTGTGAGGTTCAAAAAAGGTCAAAAGAAATCGTTGATTAAATATGTCAAGATTGTAAATTTATGTCAAAATGTCGAATTCAATTTATTTTCCACCCATCTAACCCACAAGAAATTATAACTAAATCAATAAGTAAATCAATTAAAAAAAGTGATAATGGATAACGAGGAAAAACCCGATCGAAAAGGAAAAAGGCGTTCCTCAAAAGTCCCAAAATTTTTAAGACCACAAAGAAGAAGAATCGATACTACAACAATCGCGGAAACGGATGGAACACCATCTGGGATTTTAAAGAAAACAGATGGTGCAAAAGCAGTTTCGAATCCCCCCGAAACTAGGATGGTTCCATCTTTACCTCAATTAGAAAATTTTAACCCACAATTAATGATGAAATATAACAACGATACCGATAAATCTTCAGTTGAAAGCAACGATGATGTCACGCCGGGTGCAACATCTTCAGAGGGTAGTAGACAAGATGTTGAGGTAAAATATTCATCGTCAAAAACAACGAATTCATCGAAATCATCAAAGGGTTCAGCAACTGATGTGGATGTTGAGGATACCATCGAAACGCCTGATTTCGAAGAAACAACAGATATAGAAACCGATGAAGCACCTTATTACGTCGAAGAAATACAAGGCTTAGAAACAGATGATGTACCTTTTTACATGGAAGAAACAGACCATATAATTGATGATCCACGTTTCGAAATGGAAGAACCTCCATTTTTAACCGGTGAAACTGGTTTAGAAATTGAACAACCCGCACCTGTTATGGGCCCAATAAGATTACCATTAGAACATCCCGAATCCGCACCAGATGGAAACATGGAATGGTTTCCGGATACTTTAACTTATGATCCATCTGAAGTTTCGGAAGATCAATCAGAACAAGGATCGAGAGAATAATAAATTAATAAATTTTTCTTGTGGGTTTTTATAAAGATGGGGGGAATAAATATTTCTTAAAAAAAAATTTTTTTGATTCTTATTGACACCTATACAAAAAAGTTATGAAGCTTCATGCATATTTAGGAAGGAAAGTCGGCACGTACCATGTACCATATGCCACTACAAACGTAATTCTTTATACGCATGAAGAGGGACGAGAAAAAAAAATAAAAAGAGAAAAATCGCGAGCTTCATAATCCTGCTAATGGGGGACACGCTTCACGTGCCTCATACGTGGGATGCTCGTAAAGGTTATCTTTGTCGTTAGGGATCCTTTTTACAAAGAAGCACACGGTTTCGATACGTCGCTGGTTCCATGATTACAAGGTCGCGGTTTCTTGAAAAATCTCACGGAAATAAATCGCCGTGGAAGTTTTAACATCCCGGCGGTAATATTTTTTACGGTTTCAGCTTCAAAGTTCCCTTTACGACCGCCGTTTATGTACAAACGACGCAATTACATCGGAGCAAAAGTGCAAACGGTAATATTGAGAGTTCAGTAACGTTCCGTTTTCAGCCAATTTTCATTCGTAGCCAGACCTAACTTCGAAATGACCTCCAAATTAATCGGCCAAGTTTTATTGATTTTGTTAAAGTAATTATTACCAAGTTAATTACTTTAGACATAAGTTTTAATTCATTGTTACATCATTAACTTAACAGATTCTTTGTGTAATTAAGTCAGTGTTAAGGAAATGTTTGGGGTTGTTTCAATTTAAGTGTTACAACGAATAATTGAGGAGTGCTATTTGCTCAACGATTTCTCCTTTACCAAGTCTTCTGAAAAATTGTAAACCTAAGTGACATCTACAAACATCTTCAAAAACAACAAGTTTTGTTATAAACTCGGCCTTTTTTTTCTGGGAAGTACCCAATTTGATGTATAAACCATGGTTATCTTTTAATTGGCCATCAAAACAATTGAAGAAAATGACAATAGACTGAAAGTGTTGGTAAGCATGTCAACAAGCATTGTATGTATATTTTGGCAGAAAATTTAGACATGAGAAAGCTAAGATGGGCACCACATCATGTCAACAGACTGTCTTCTGATGCAGAAGTTTTCTTTAGATTTTGCATTCATCCACCTCTAGCTCTGTGCAAGAGAGAGTGAATGTGCGTTGCAGAATCCTTTCTGCTAGCAGGTCAGATACCGACTTGGTTGAACTTATTATTGAATCATAATCTGTCTGGGGTGGTCCTGGTTTTTCGTTTATGTATTTAAGTTGTTGTTGAGCCCTTTGCTCAATATGTAGGCAGATTCCAGACAGCGACAGTTTTATGTTCTCACAAACTGGTTACATTAGCTGTAAATGTTCGAGTCCTAGTCCTAATCCTTTGCCAATGGATTCACCGTAAACATAGTCAGCTTTTGTTACTGAGTTATCATCGAGCTGCTATTAATTCCAACATTAGAGTATGGATAGGATTGCAATCTGTTTCTCTGTGGCCAAATCTTTTAATGGATACTAAATATTCTCCTTGGTTCCTGAAATTGGTACTATTTTAAGGTTCAACCCCAAATCTGATTCGAGGAACTTGACTAATTCTTCTTTTGATCTAATAATGAATGTAATCAGTTTGTAGTTGAAAAATATTATATAAGCTTGACCCTTTTCTTTGTGTTTAAAGCAAATAAATTATTTTGAAAGCATTTGCAAAACTTAGTTTTGTACTAGAAAACAAAGAAATACCGCGAAGCCTAGAAAGGACTTGAAACCATATCCTTGACAGGGAAAACTGTGGAACTTAAGTCAGCGAGCGATGGAATAAGTAATGCATGTGTTCAGACGAACGCAAATGAGAAAAATGTTATGAGTCGAGTAGCGAGGCTTAAGTGGCAATGCTTCGGGCATGTGGCAAGAGAAAACATAAAAAAATGGAGACAAAGAATAATCTTTTGGAGACCACGAAAAATTATAAGAGATGCAAGAAGACCGCAAAAGAGATTGCGAAGGAATGGTAAAGAACAGCAAAATAGAAATAAATGGATACATTTGGAAGAGACTTATGTCCAGCTTTAATGAATATAGGTTGGGGAAGAGGAAGACGAAGAAGGAGGTTTCTATCCTAGATTTCCTCTTTTCATGTCGTTTCTGAGCTTTTTAGAAAATAATATTTGTATGGGGCTAAATTCCACAGATTTGTTGCCCCAAAACAGCATCCTTTGCGAAATCTAAAGAGTCGCATAAAATTATGAGTAGAATATTTGGTCAATCCAATAAATGCAAGCTTTTTCATTTAGTATTAATAGGTTATTCAGGAATGCCTCGAGTTAATTCATTGTTGCATCATTAATTTGTAAACCTAAGTGGCATCAACAAACATCTTCAAGAACAACAAGTTTTGTTAAAAACAAGGCAGTTTTTTCAGGTATGTACCCAATTTGATGTCTAAACCATGGTTGTCTTTTAATTGGCTATTAAAATCATTGTATACTTTTATTTGAAATCTTCAGTCCGTCAGTTTACAACAATTAATAGTTGGATGGCAGAATTTAAACATGGATAACAATTGATTGAAAGTGTTGTTAAGCATTTCAAAACTCTACATATTGGCAGAGAATTTAGACTTGAGAAAGCTAAGATGGGTACTACACAGAGAACAAGACTGACTTTTGATGTAGAAGTTCCTCTTTCGATTTTGCATCCATTCACCTCTAGGTGTGTGCTAGACAGTCCGAATATGCGTTGCAGAATCCTTTCAGCTAGCTGGTCAGATACCGACTTGGTTGAACTTGTTGTTGAATCGTAATCTATCTGGGGTGGTCTTAATCCTTTGCCGAGTCATAAGGCATCCTTTGCTAATGAATGCAAAAATGAGTTATCATTGAGCTGCTCTTAATCCCAACATTAGAGTATGGGTAGTGTTGCAATCTATTTAGCCTTGTGCATGTACTGAAGTGGCATCTAGTGATACACGTATATCCTATTCGGGAACATTCATACTTACCGTGTGATAGCGACTTTAGTCTAATTTCGACCGCAAAAAAAAGTTGTTCTGGACGTTCCAGAAGAATGGAATGAACTTATTTGTCAAGCAAGGTCCAAACCATCTCCATTTAATTTCGTGAAAGCTGGAATAGACTCTCAATGGTTTTTAATGGATGAAAGTTTTAAAGACTTATTTTTCAAAAATCCCAAGCCAAAAATTTCGCTAAAACCAGCTCGAAACCAAGCTAACAAATACCTAAAGAGTATCCTGAGCAAGTGCTAATACGTCAAAATTAGTATGGTCCCTGGTCATACCATACCATTGCAAGAAAAAAATGCCTTCAGAAATAGCGCTGATACCTAACCAACATACACTTGGAATAAATTCAAAAAAGCTCCGATATTTGATGGAACTTACGAAATATCTTAAGAATCCTCGTAACAAGGAGTTTTATCTTAACCTACGATCAAACGCGAAGGTACAGCAGGATACCTCGGAAGACATTCAAAGTACTGAAATTATGAGTGATGATAATAGCAGTGGCGGGGAATAAAATTGGGGTCCAAAACACAAAAAAATAGTGATGTTGACATTTTGACAAGTGTTACTTTTCCAATATTCTTTAATTTTTGATAATTTTTTGGTTTTGTGTGCAAAATGAACAAAAACTAAAGTCAAAAGTTGTTCTTTTATTCTACATTTAATTATAAAAACACCTTAATAAAATCAAAATCCTTTACAATATAAAGGCAAGCAGTTTTTCTTGATTTTCTCAAAATTCTTTTTTTGGACATACTTAGACTTATTTTGTTATTTTTCAAATAAATGCCTCAACTGTATTGGTAATAATGGTCCATTTGCTTGGCCACCTAGATCCCCGACCATAATTGGTAATTGAATTAGCTATCATATGACAAAGTTTGATAGTGAGCTAATAAATCACCCTGTATAGTAATTATTTTAACCACTATAATATCATACCTTAATTACTACATTCTATATTTAAGATATAAAAAAAACATAAATTTTACTTACCAAATTAAGTAAATAGACATTAGTAACAGTTCTCATTCTTTTGTTCTGTACAAGAGTAATTAAAACTAAAGAGTTTCCGACTATTGACAGAACGAAGATGACGACGTAAAGTGGAATGATGAGCTTGCTCTCAAAAACGCTCTCGGTAACGGAAGCAACGGTGGCAGTTACGACGTTTTTCACATCCCAAACGCTAGAATTCACCGAATATGTAACCGTAAAATTGCCCAGCACGACGGGGTTTGTCGAGTTTTCGAAGAGGATACCGGCGAAAGGATCGTACGAGGACGTGCTCGTTGTGACGACACTTTTGTTTGAGAAAATCCCTGCCAGAGGGTCCGTTACGATCGTGTGCTCCATCGTTGATGAACACCTTATCTGAAAAAAAAAAATGAGAAAGAAATGAACGTAACTTTTATTTAAAATTTTTTTGCTTTTAGTTGAAGCAAATTGAGTGTGTTGCAGTTAACACATCATGTGGTGTGAATATTTGATAGTTAATCTCGGTAGTCCACAATTGGTGGTTGTTACGTGACTAGATTGGTAGTGATATAATAACCGGATAGATCTAACTTAACCGGCGAAAACTTCAAGACACCTCTCGCAATACGATTAATCTATATTTAGAATTGTTAATCAATACGCAATTTATCTTCTCAAAGCACGCTGAGGGTAAACACGAACCTGAAAAATCCTTTGGGATTTGAGAAATGGATCGCATGTTTCCCAAACATAATTGTTGAGGTTTGAGTTTCTGCACTTAGAGGCTAACGTTATCTTGTGATAAATGTTATAATAACGAGCTGGGCGCAATAGTTCGTCAACGCATCAAGTTTTACTAAATAATTTAGATTGGCTCGTTTAGGAGGTTGGATAATTCAATTAACTCTGGACTTAGGTCTTGATAGGAGAATGATTGTTTGCGTTTATGCTTTGGCGAACTCACGTTTTCGCTACGTTGATCACAAACTAATATTGCAGTTGCCAGTCTGCAACATTATTATTTATTTTACCCCGTTATATTTTCTAAAATAAATTTTAGTTGCGATTGAAACTTTTGTTTCATACATCTTTTATCTAAACTAACGAGTTTTGGATTAATGAATTTTTGAATATATCAAGCGAGAAGTTCTTCGAGCACACCAGTTTGTTGCATACTTTACAAACTAACGAATATATTCCTTTAAAATAACCCCATCCTGTACGCTACGATGACGCAGTTGTTTTAATTATTAATTCGTTTGCAAGTTTTAGTTACACGAAGGCAATTAAGTTACGTTGTGGGAGTTACGCGTTGACATTTAATAATTAAAACCCGTTATTTATTGTTTCAACGAAAATCTCTTTAAAATCGAGGATACTACATTTATAAAATTTTAGAAACAAGACTGGGTCACCCTTGGGATTTTCTGTAAAAGCACTTAAGATTCCTACAAAGTGGTCGTTCGCTCGTGAAAGCATGTCAACTGTACATTTTCGAACTTCCCACTTTCTTTTTCCATCCCTTCTTTCTTATCTTTTACCTGTCTGTTTATTTCTAAATTTTTTTGTTTCTAAATTATGAATTAAATTGTTTCATATCTAAGTGATTTATATCCCCATTCTTTTAACCCTTTTAGGAGGATTTTCTGGGTCACCAAAAATCCCAACAGACCTAAAGGTTCATAACTAACACTCAAGGGATCCCTTCTACTCCCGACTGACCACTGGTCGAGGTAAAACCATTCCAGATTTACCCCAGTAACCTTCTACGATATTATCATCGACCAACACCTATTTAAGCGATCTATTTAGAGTATTGCACAATTTTAGATAGTAATAACGTGAATCGGCATTTTTGAGATGACACTTGAAACTAAAGTAGGTAGTTATTCTTGGAAATTTCGTGTGTCAGGAGGACAGACATTGCGTCACAGCTGATGATTCTCACGTAGATTGAAACGAATCCCGATTTATTCAGGCATGGAGATCACTATTGGATTTTCTAGGTTGAATGGATGTTGCAATTTCTCGGTGGTCGACTTCATTTGTGCCAAAATTTGAAAGATTTACAATATTTTGTCTACAATTTAACTCCTATAGAAATGCAGTTGCGGAGTTAAATCCGTAGTTCTCACAAATCACAGGTAATTGCACTTCCCGAGCCCCTTTTTCTCGTTCCAATTTCTTATTCACCGGCCCTTTTCGATTGAAATGCTCCAATATAAAATTCAGCCTTCTTAAATGCACCGTTTTTCGTTTCCCGAATGGGAAATCTACGAGTCCTTGATTCCAAATGAACTTCTATAGATTCGAATCCTCACTATTTAATATTGGATTACCACCCTAACTTCTAACTTTAATATAAAGTTTAACTTTTATTACTTTACGTTTTATCCTTTCGTTGGCCGCAATATATTCCTAAACGTTTCACCGAATCATCTCAAAAAATATGTAAAGCGAAAATATAATCCGCTTAAAAAACGCAATATGTTTGGGAAAATTTCGCGGAAACTAGATTTTTACGGACAAAGTAAATGCACCGGCGCCAAAATTTTTATGGGGCACAAGTCGGTCGTGAAAATGATGACGAATGCAACAAAAAAAAAGTTGTGTTACGGAAGTCAAAATAGGACGTGAAAAAAACACTGCGATACATCGGCCATAAATCGATAACACTTTGTTTTTGCGTTTTTTTGGTGTTAACAAAACTACATAATCTTTAAACCAATAAATAAACCTAAAATATGTTTATCAAATAATAAAATAGAATAACATTCTGGATTATTACCACGAAAATTGGTTCTTATCTTAGGCTATTAAAAGTCTAAATAACCAGGTAATAAATTTACCGTCGACAGTTTATCAAATTTATAGACCTATATCACGAAATGAATAAGTTTAAAATACCTATTCGAATCAATAAGTGTTAAAACATTGACTTGATATAAAAGTTGTAAATAAAACTGCGTCTAAAATGTTTTTAGAGAATTTTACTCGCAAAAAGACTGTGTTGGACTAAAAGATAAGAAGATCCACGAATTCCAACTCAACTCCACTTAACCCAACTAAACCCAACCCAAATTGTCGAAGAAACAATTTCAGTCCAACAACTCAACCTGAACTTTAGAAAACGTGAAAATGTGTCGGACATACGGTTTGTAAGATACACAACATTTCTGTTCATTGATCTTATCTAGAATGCTTTTAGAGATTTTGGCGAGCGGAAAGATTGTGTTAACGAGTTGTGATGGATCAAAAGATACTAGGATCCACGATAGAATTCCCACTCAACTCCACTTATCCCTTAGCTTATGCACTTGAACAGCATATACCCTCGTACATTATGGCAGGATGTCTTGGCGTAATCAAGTTATTGTGGTTATGAAAAAAGTAATCGATCAATACCTTAGGAATGGAGTGCTTGTTACTAATCCACTCCCCCCTAGCCAACATGCTTACCAGAAAGCAAAATCAACAATTACTGCTCTCCAGGCTTTGACTAGCACTTTAGAGGAGGCAATTGCAACCAAAGATATTGTGCTTTCATACACATAGAGGGTGCGTTTGATAACACCTCCTATGAATACATAGAGAAAGGCTCTAATCGTAAAAGATATACATATGTCGACAATCATCATTCATGTTGATGACCTGGTAGTCACAATCCGAGGTAAATATGATACAATCATAACTCAACTAAAACAGAAAGCCCTACTATTCACCAGTACTTGGTGTAGAAGCAATGAGCTCAGCATCAATCTAAAGAAATTCGAAATAGTCCCTTTCACTCGGAGAAGAAAGCTACAAATAAAAGCACCCTCCATTGAAAGCAGATCCAATAACCTCAAAACAGAAGTTAAATACCTACGGGTAATACTAGACAGTAAACTAAACTGGAACCCACACTTAGGTAAGGTGAGGAAAAAGGCCATCATGGCAAACCAGATCTGCCGTATGCTCCTAGGAAGGAAACCACGAATGGCTCATTGGCCCTACGTAGCAATAATCAGACCCATGGTCGCCTACGCCTCATTGGTTTGGTGGCCAAAAACAAAACATAAGACAGCACAACAACAGCTGGCACAAATCCAGCGGTTAGCATGTCTTAACATGCTAACCGCCGGCAGCTTTGGAAGCCCTACTCGGTCTCACACCGCTCCATTTATATATACAAAAGGAGCCAGCTTCAAGTGCCTTAACACTGAAAACAGTTTTTTCATTCAAGTTGATGCAGGGCAACCTCAGAAGACACCTCGAAATCCTCAAGGAGCTATGTCTAAATCACCTGATTGGAATTAAAACGGACCTTATACCTTTTTTGACTGAGTTCGGCCATGTAGCTTACATCAAACTTTTGTCCCATTTCTGATTCTAAGATTTTGTACCAAGGGGAATCTTCTTCTCGGCATCCAACCTAACAGAACGAGTGCTTTTGTGGTGTAGTAGTTAGTACGGTAATTAGTAAGGTTTTTGCTCAACAGGTGTATCTCTTGTCATTTATGATACACCCATTCTTTGTTTTGGGACCATTTCTTGCCTCTTGTCTATTAGTTCCTGCTACATTTCAATGCCCAGCTAACACGCTAAGGCTATGTTGTAGGTCAGAGTGGCCATGTCCAGTAAGAACATTTAGCAGATGGTGGGACAGGGTTCATTCAATGTATATTGAAGGTTTCAACTGAGGGACATGAACGTGATGTGTGGGGTAAGTGGAGGCGAGGTCAGAAAGAGGAGAGAGAGAGAAAGTAAAGAAGAGTTGAATGAGATTATGGATCACAGCGCTTTGGATGATTGGAACTGATTATGATGGAGAGTAGTGTTAATTATTGGTAGGAAGAGGCAGCGGGTGGCTTTTGGATAATTTGGTGGAGAAGAAAACTGTATAGAGGCATCTCTTTTTGGGCAGACCCAAGATTTTGGTCCGTCTCGACAATCAATATTTCAGATAAAGGCAGAGGGCGGATAAATCATTAGGCATTTCTCAATTTCTCTAAATGCACCAATTCAAATCAGTAACATTAGACGAGAATATTGGTCAAAGATCGTCTCTTAAGATAGGTATTGCACCTTTAATAAGAAGTCAAGGTTGGTTCTAATAAGACTCCAAGGAGCTTCCATTGACATATTGAAACTATTTTGAGAGAGAGAGAGAGAGAGAACTGTGTAGTTTCTCCGCTTTTATAATGACTTTTTTATGTGCTCCATCATACATCATTGTCCAGAAAGTTCTAAAATTTGGGTCAAAAACTTCATTTCTTTCACCTTTCTAGCGAACTTTCTGTCATTGTGCAGAAGCGAATTGTATAGTCAAAAATAGATCTTTGTGGTCAGCGGTGAGTCTTTTAAATCGAATTGTATCCTTAATAATCGAGGAGCAGGTAAGTTTGGCTGTTGA